GGCTCTTCTAAGTAACTTCACTACCTCGTATTCTTCTGGTGTCAAACGACTATCCAGTCCTTGTGCGGTAAGATACGGTAGCATCGGGTGAGTGTGGATGCCATTTTTTAAAATTCATTCGCCATAGTCCATCGTTTCGATTTTTGCTACAGTATATACGAAAAGGACATTCACATTTCTTTGTTCCCAGATTTCGTTGCTTCACACTTTCGGTTCGTTTTTCACGTCCCTTCCCAGACACATGACATTTAATTACTACATAAACGTTTTTCTGGCTTGAAGTTACTATCAATCGATGACCATAAGTAGCAGCCATTTTTTTTGCCCATGCCACTAATTCTTTCCCAGTTTCAAACTCAACATCCACATTGAAATATTGACTGTGATCCTCAGAAGTTGTTGGTGTGTCTTGAGGAACATCAAAACACATGTTGGGATCCTCGTACTCGTTGTCATATTCAGTTCCAAACTCATCATCAAAATCACCTTCACTAGCCTATTAAAGTATAACAAATAATAATTAGTATATAAATAACACTATAAAATTAAAAAAAAAAAATTAGGGTTCCCGTGCCCTAGGGGACGATTGTTCATGGTTAAGGGTGGAAATCGGACGGATCAGATCGGAAATGGGCGTTTCGGAAAATTTCCGAATTTTTTCGGAACTCAAATATCATTTCGGATTCCGATTCCGAAATTTTCGGAATCAAAAACTCAGTTCCGATTCCGATATAATCGGAAATTTCGGAATTTCGGAATTTTTCGGAATTCCAAAAAAAAATCTTTTAAGAACAAGAAAAATAATCGGAAACACCAAAATCGAACAACAATCGACGATAAGTCTCTCACACAATGAAAAAATTCAAGAATTTGCATTCCCCTCCTATCAGTGGGCATATTCTACCAAAATAATTTCTAAAATAACATAATATTTGAGGTTACAAAAATAGAAATGGTTATTATTTGTAGATAGACGAGCTCAGCGAGTAGCTTACTGGCCAACACCCCTTTACCTTCTGGGTGCTCGAAGAAACGAGCGTTGCCCTCTGCAATGGAGCTGAACTTTGGAGAAGAAGATAGAACTTTCGAAGAAGCACAGCTCCGCGGCCAAGAAGAAGTAGAAAAGTGATTAGGAGGAAGTCAAAGATTAGGTCAGAATGGGGGTGGTCCGTAGGTTTTTTGATGGGCCAATAAGTTAAACTTTTAATATTTGTAACACAAATAATATTATGGGCCAGCCCAAAGAGGTGGCTTAGTTTTGGTATGAAAATATGTATGATACATAATTTATTCATGTATAAAAAAATCGGAAAATATCGGAATATTTCGGAATTATTTTCGGATCGGAATTCAGAAATTCCAAAAATTTTATATAAATTCCGATTCCGATTCCGATCCGATTTTTTTTCAGAAAATTCAGAAATCGGAATTTCGGAAATCGAACCACAAAAAATCGTTCCAAAATCGGAAATATTCGGATCGGAATCGGCGGAAATCGGAATATTTGTTCCGATTTCCACCCCTATTTATGGTTCCCGTCCTCTAGGGCACGGGAACCACAAGTCTCCGTCCTCCATGGCACGGGAACATGGTGTTCCCTCGCTCCTCAGCACGATCCCTCGATTTTTTTTTTTTTTTTTTGATTTTCCCGTGCTACACAACACGATAATACAACGAAAAAATTCAACTTTCACTAATTTCTTCGATTTGACCTTGTACAAGTCATCCGAATCGGCCATGATGTTATTTGTTGTCGTCGGGCAGTCGATTTATCAAACAAACACGAAAATCTTAATTCTCGACTTTTTTTAGTTGAGAGCGTTTTGAGTTTTTTAGAAAGTTGAAATAAAAAGTACCGCTGCGAATAAGTCAATTTCTATAAAAGTCCCGCTATAATTAGCAATTCAGTTAAAAATATTACCTATACATCCCTTAAAGTTTAATCTTAACAAAAATGTAATTTAAAATCGTTCAATAGTATATATTTTTGTTTTACTCAAATATTTTTAAAAGAAAAGACATTATAGAATTAAAAAATTGGAAAATAATTTTGCAATTTTATATATAAAATAATAAGATGACATGTTTTTTTTTCTTTTTACCACATTGCAGTCTTTTCACCTCAAGTTGTGATACCTCTACCTCTTTAAGGCACTTCCCTTTCTTCAAAAACCTCCATTGTTAGTGAAAA